TTGATGCTGCTAACACTTAGATGTTTGCACATACATCATTAATCTCTATGTATCTGATTATTACTAGTCACAGTCAGTTACACTCAGATTCTTGGTACCTGAGTATGGATATAAAGTCATCAGGTAGATGTTAATGGTAATGTTTATCACCTCTACTAATTAAAATTATTTCTCTTACATATATACTCATAAACTGGTATTCACTATACCATGACAAACTGTTAATTGAAGAAAGATAAACATTGACCATCCATCCTTTTCTTTTGTGGTTACTAGTCAATGAATTGGCCCCCACAGTTCAAAGTTACTTCAATAAAATAGGCTAGCAGAATTCTGAAGGTTTCCCCTTTTCTAATCTGCTGCATCTGTAAGCTGCCATTTTTATACTGTGGCCCAGATACAATCTGCACATTTCTCCCCTTGACTAGATGTTATGGATATGTAGGCTGGGCTAGTTTTCTTATCACTGTGACTAAATGTCTGACAAGTAGTAACTTAAGGAGCAAAGCTTTATTTGGGCTCACATTTTGAGGGAGAAGTCTGGCATGAAGGCATGATGGCTAAACCAGATTGCTTGTGGGTGCAAGAGTATAAAATTACTTGCTCACATCCTGAAAGATTAGAAAGCAGAAAGAGATGGATTCAGCCAGTAGCAGATAGGCTATTACCTCGAAGACCCACCCCCCAATAAACCACTGGCCCCACCTCCTCCCAAAGGCCACTAGCTGTTCAAGTGTGTGCACCTGAAGGGACATTTAACATTCAAACCACAGTATAGACCATATGGTACTTGGCTTCCTCAAAACTAGGGCTTTTTTTCTTAATAAATTGTGTGCACTCTACTTTTCTGTCCACATTTTTCCTTATTAAACACAATTTTGCATTTATACTGCATGGTACTAGTTTATGCCCACTTTCCTCAAGGTCACCACCAAAGGGATTGATTATATATCATGGTGCTTCCATGTAACTCTACATCACTGATAAAATATATGGTATTAAGGGAAGGCTATTTATATTCTAAAACAGAAAAAGTTCTCCCTAGTACTATATATGTTGGGAAACCCTGCTGTTAAAGTTGGCTCCTTTCTCAGCAGGGGCTTCCTGCCTGACTTACCTGGAAAGTGCCTCCAAGCAGGGATGCCTGACCTTATTCAGAACATGACCTTTGGCATAGTTATCTACAATAAAAACTGCCCCCAGGTTTTTTCTATATGATAATTAGGCATTGCCCTATAGCCAGATGATAGGATCCCCCTACCACATGTAAATAAAGCATACTATGAGCACCTATCAGCTGAAGCTTTGGCTGCTGCCTCCACACTATATTTGCCTTAACCCCCACTGAATCTGGAGCTGTTTCACTGAGTCTGGAGCTGTATCACTAAATCTGCCCCCGTTCGTCGCTTCTGCTCCCTTTGTTCTTGTGGATCGGTGGCCAATGACCCACGGGGGGAGGGAGACCTCCCACACACTATATATATAAATACACACATACACACACACACGCACACACACACACACACTTTGCCAGGACTATGTGTATGCATGCACCTAGTACTTGAGTTACAGACCCTCGCCTGACTCGAAACTTGAAGGAATCCAGGGATTATGCCTGCCTTGCTTCCATATGCCTATTCTTGAAACAGGATAGAAAGGAAAAATTAAAGGGGCCTGTGTGGGAAAAAGAGCCCCTCACCCCAGAATCTTGTATTTATGTGTATGGTTATATAGTGACTCCATCCTGAAATTCTTTTCTGTAGCCTAAGGTCCCAGCTTCACCTGAATGGGGTTCCCAAAGGGTATGTGATAGTTTGTCAACTTGACACAATCTAGAATCTCAGGGAAGGGTGTCTCAATGAGCAGTTGTCTAGATTAGGTTCATCTGTAGGCATGCCTGTGTGGGATTTTCTTATTTGGGTTAATGGAAATAGAAAGACCCACCCCAAATGTGGGTGGCACCATTTTCTGGGCTGGGCCCTGAACTTAATGAAAAGGAGAGAACCAGCTGATCCAGCGGTAGCTTGCAGGCGTTTTTGTTCTCCTGAGACATGGAACATCTCGCTCACACTTCTGCTGTGATGACTTCCCTGCTGTGATGAACTACCAAGTGGAACTGGGAGCCAAATAAACCTCCCCTGAGTTGTTTTTGTCAGGTATTTTATCCCAACACGAAACTAAGGGTGGAACTCTCCACTGCATCTCCCACTGACTAACCCACCCATTTGTAGATGATTATGTGGCAGAATTGCCAGCACTCCAGAACTCCCCACTTCAGGACCTGTGTAAGGTGCGTGTGTGTGTGTGTGTGTGTGTACACGCAGGCACTCAGGGGAGGCTGGGTGTGGTGGCACATGCCTTAATCCCAGAGGCAGAGGCAGGGGGATCTCTGTAAGAACAAGGCCAGCCTGGTCTACATAGTTCCTGGTACGCTGGGGCTACAGGGAGACCCTGTCAAAAATGAATAAATACCAAGGTCCATCCTGAAAAAAAGATTGTACCACAAATGTATCACCCTAGTTTGTGAGAGTGGATGGGCTTGGATGTGCCAATTGAATAACAGTCCAATGCATGCATATCAGGCCAGCCTAGTACATAATGTGGTCACTTTGAGGAATCTGAGAATTTCATATTTGAAATGTGCTTATTTTCTTTGAGACGAAATATCTGTCAAGGTAGAAGGGTAACATTTTGATGGTTAAGCTCTTAGCTACTTATGTGAGAGTTGAAACTATATGCTTTTGCCCCAGACTACCACAAATGTTACTGGGTCAGGATATTAATCTACAGACTCTTGATTTTTGAAAGGTGAATATTAATCAGATTAAAGCATAAAGACTTTTATGGTGAACTGGTCTCACAAGTGATCTGACATGCTTGACAGTGAGATCTATACTTTAAAAGAATTCGGCTCATAACTGAAGATTTGCTAATCCTCTTAACTGCCTCTTCAAAGGCTGATGTAGGACAAGATTTGCTATGCACTTGAAATGTATCCACTTCTACAAACCTGATCGTTTTTCTACTTGTAACTGTAATTCTCAAACATACAGTTGAGCATAATAAACACATTATGTAGATTTTATCAGTCAATAATTTTGCCAAGTATCTGTCACCTAGTTTTAAATTTTACCTTTTAATACTTCAGTGCACTAATGATGGATTTTGTTTTTCTTTACCCTGGCATGGTCTCCTGTAGCCAAGGCTGGCTGTAAACACCATATTCCATCACAATGTTTAGAAAATTTCAGTGTGCAGGCCTATAATCTCAGCATTAGGGCATGGAAGCATGAGGATCAGGAGCTGAAGGGCATCCCGGGCTATACAGAGTAAGGCCAGCCTGGGGGGAGGTAGGGGCAACTTCATCTTTTACTATGGGCTGTTAGTAATTTTTGTATAACTTAAAATTCCAGTAATTTGTTTAGTGCTTTCTAATTTTCAAAAATTCTTATCTAGTCTTTTACATTCCTTAAACAACACTGAAAAGCGCGAAGGATCCAGGCCAGGAATTCTGTCTCCAGCCCTCAAATGGGGAGTAACGAATAACAGTCTCCTCGACTTGGACGCTATGGAGGCAATAAATCGCTCGAGTGCTCTTCCCACTCTATCCCCAATCTCAGGAGACGGTACTGAAGCAGAACTGAGTTATTCTAAATCTTAGTACTTGTGCTAAAAAAAAAAAAAAAAAAAAAAAAAAGGTTCCATCCCCCTGCAGTTTGCCTTTGGCTGCCATTCTGGTGAAATAGCCCCGCTTTGTTCCCCGGGAGACTTTCGTACTGCTCAGGTGGAGCTAAGGCGAGCGTCGGACCTCGGGAGCCCTCCGGCTGCACCGCGCTTGACGGCCCCTTTTGCGACGCTTGCCGTGACTGCCGTAAAGCAAGCAGCCGCTGTGGGCTTTGGTGACAGGGAGTCCAGCGGGGCGGTGGGCGGGCGCTGCAGGTACACTCGCCGGTCGCTCAGAGCCCTTTCCTGGCGCTCCACCACCTTGGGCATCTGCCTGGGTCGGGCGGGAGGACGTGGAAGTCCGTGCAGGTACGGTCTGTGAGTCGGTCGGCGAGCATCCCACGCTTGCTTCCCATACGCTCAGGAGTGTCAGCAAGTGAAATCCTCATCCTGACCCGGGTCGATGAGGAAGGCGGGTGGGAGCAGTGACATTTGCTCGGAATGGTGAGAGCCTTCTCGGAAGTTGCGGGGAGCGAGCATGGAAGTGCCGGGACAGGAGCAGTTGCAGCGATCCTGGATGCAGGGGTCCTGGATGCAGGGCTGAGCTCCCAGGGAAGGGAAGGCAAGGTAGGAGAGTGACTGCAGCTAGCCAGGAAGAGTTGCACCTGGGAAGGAGTTCCCTGCCCTGCAAAGGACGAAGTTGTGCGTGTGAAGCGCGGCTGCAACCGCTTTATGGAGGGAGGCAGCTGCCCCGGCTTCCCAGGCTCCTCCCGGTGTTCAGCCTCCAGTACATCTGCAGGAGCGCGTTAGTGAAGCACCCCTTCCTGTGCTTCAGAATGATGTGCTCCCAACGAGCCGTGCTCAGTTTCATGTGGCTTTCCGGACTGCCTTCTGTTTGCATTATCATTGGGGAATGTTGGAAGAGGTTGCATATGAATACGGCTGGCTTGCTGGAAGTTTTAGATAGTAGTCCAGAAAACTGAATTCTGATTTCATCGCAGGTGCCATTTGTCAGGCAACAAGAGGCAAGCTACTTTTCTGTGGACCCCAATTCTAAGATATAAAGATGACCTAGATGAGATTCTTTCTACTTTTGAAGACAGCCTTTTGGCTGTCTCTTAATTTTTACCTGTTCTCCTTTGTAAAGTGCTGTCTTGAGTCAGATAGTTTGTCTTCTTTAAAACCTATAAAATTTGAGTCTGAGGAGGGAGAGCTAGCTCTCTTTGCTTGCTTTTTTTTTTTAAACATTTTATTATTTTTATTTTATGTGTATGAGTGCACTCGTGTCGTGCAATGCCATGGAGGTCAGAGCGGGCTTCAGATTCCCCTGGAACTGGAGTTAAGGATGGTTTGTAGCCGCCATGTGGGTGCTGGGAATCTAACCCCGGTCCTCTGCAAGAGCAGTCAGTGCTCTTAACCGCTGATCCATCTCTCCAGCCCAATTCACATAGCTTTATAGCTTTACTAAGATCAAGACCTAAATGTCCTCAACCAAGCAATTAGTTATTTGCATCTTAAGGGGATGCTTTACTTACTTAAAAATAATTTGAAAAATAAATAAAATACCCACCAGGAGTGTTGGTGCACCCCTTTGATCCCTGCACTCTGGAGGCAGAGGCAGAGGCCAGCAGATCCCTGAGAGATGAGGCCAGCCTGGTCTACATAGTGAATTCCAGGCCATTTGGGACTACAGGGAGACCCTGCCTCAAAAAACTGAAATAATAAATAAATAAAATAAACTTGATTTGGGCTGGGAGGAAGTTCAGTCATTAAAGTGCTTGCCATGCCATCATGTGGGGATCTGAGTTCAATCCCCGAAATGCACATAAGAAAACTGAGTCAGGCAGCCTGCACTTGTAATCTCAAACCTGGGTAAACTGACAGGCGGATCCCTAGGGATCCCCAGCTTGCTGAGTTTGCCAGAACTGTTGAAAATTCTTGGTGTGGAATAACTTGATTTACCTGTCAACACCCTGGTGTATTTCCTAATGTCATGGTTATGGTTACAGAGAAAGTGAAGACAGAGGCACCTACTAAAATTAGAACATTACAATTACATTTTGACTGTGAATAAAGAATAGGGAGGTAATTCCTGAGATATTTTAGAGGTAACACCCACAAGCCTTGGCGTCTCTTTTGTAAACTATCACATTGCTCATTTTTAAGTGGTACTATGTTATGAATGAATTAATTTTTTATTAGTTGTAAATTAGAGGTAGGTCCCAAGAGACAACAGTATGTTGGACTTTCTGTCTGTAATGGCTGATAGAGGAGGCTTAGCAAGGGTAGAGTCTGCTGCTTTAGACTGCACTACGAATCAGCACACAGTACAATGGTGTGTTTAGTACACGAACAAGAAGTAGCTGAAATCATGCTCAGCGTGGTGGTGCACGCCTTTAGTCCCAGCACTTGGGAGACAGGGGCAGGTGGATCTCTGTGAGATCAAGGCCAGCCTCATCTACATAGCCACTTCCAGGCCAGCTGGTGGTATAGGGAGTATAGGGGGTATAGGGTCTCAAAAAAAAAAAGAAAAGAAAAGAAATAGCTGAAATCTTGAAAATGAAGGTGTTTTCCTTGTTACCCCAGGAAGTACCTTTATATTAGACTATTATTAGTACATTTAAACCGACAGCAGAAGCTAGTGTCATTATCAGTGTTAATATGTGCTGCTAGTTTTCAGTTTGGAGAAAATCATGGTTTATTCAGTTATCTTGATACATATTATCTGCAGATCAGTGAGTAATTCACACATCTGTTGATATTCTCTTGGGTAGTTTGTTGATCTTATGTCATTTTTTACAGTGTTTGTTTTATACAGGCTTCAGCTCTGTAAGCCCATTTGGATTGTTTTAAAACAATCCACACCAAAAGTTCTGATGGGGAAATGGCAGAGTAAAGACATTTGTGCTTTGTTCTATCTGAAATTACCCTGAAACAACATGGAAAATGAGAGACAGGTGTTATTACAGCATTTCTGGGACAAAAATGACTGAAACCCCAAACAGAAATGTTTGAGAAATGGCCACCACAGGTAAAAAGAGGCTAGAAGAAGATCCTGGGGGAGAGATCTCAGACCTGGCTTTGCTCCTGCAGGGCAGCATGTATTGGAAAGCTGGGAGCGTGGCAGACTGTTGAGCAGCATGAACTACCTGGAGAGAAGACGAATGGGAAACACATCGCACTCCCCTCACAGCAGCAGAATGCTGGAAGACTTGTCAGACTAGGAAGCATCTTTCTACAGCTGCAAGAAATAATGCTTTAACAACTTTTTCTCCTGTTTTAAATATTTATTATTTTTATTTTATGCGTGAGTATATTGCCTGCTTGTGTCAGTGCACCCATGTCGTGCAAGTGCCCATGGAGGTTGGAGGAGGGCATCAGATCCCCTGGAACTGGAGTTACAGATGGTTGTTGGCTACCATATGGGTGTTGGGAATCGAACCTATGTCCTCTGCAAGAGCAGCCAGTGCTTTTAACCACTGAGCCATCTCTCCAGCCACAACTTTTTCTCCTAACACACATTCTCTGTATAAAACAGTCTGAGAAGGAACTACCTTCTTGTATAGAACAGAACCTTGTTCCCACCGATCACAGTATTCCCAAATAACTGATAGGGTGGGGTTCAGGTTACTTAACGATAAGTAGTTGAAAGGAAATGAGCATAGTGCATAACAAGGCTTCGAAGAAAAGAAGCAAGAAAACATGACAACCCAGGACAAAACTGCACAGGCCTCAAAAAAATTAATGAAGCAAGTACACCTTTAAAAAGGCAGAGTTGGGGCTATACCTCAGTGGCAAAGTGCTTGCCTTTTGTGTGTAGAAGCCTTGGGTTGAGTCACCAGCACTGCAAAAAATAAAGACAATGTTGATTGACTTGAGAATTAGGAAGAAATTCTAAGACAGAAGTCTGGCACAGCTTGGGAATGAAAAGAAAAAGAAATAAAGGCCACACTGGAATGGGAAATTACCATGGAAAATTCTATGCCATTGTATGAGGACAGGCTTTGGAAAGGTGAGCAAAGTGAAACAGGAAAGAAAGGAGGTATGCCCCTACTGTAGTTCTGGAAATTGAGAATCCAGTGTTCAAACACAGCCTCAAAAGATTTTCTACAAAGAAATCTCATATTCTACAGGTTGAAAGAAGACAAAAGCCTTAAAGAAAAACTAATATCAGTAACCACTATAACAAAAATAGGATTTCATAATAGGTAAGGAATGTATAGCATCTTTGCTCATCCCATTAAAAAGATCAGATTATCTATAGATAGGGTTAGGGAATTCAGTGTTATCAGGGGAATAGTTAGCATTAAAGGGAATGGTACAAATTCTGCAAGTCAGAGAAAATAAAGTGTGACCTCATAACCAAGCTGTCAGCTGACAACTATTTTTGAACAGTGGAAACTGAATCCCTTGAGTTCTTTCTGATAAGCTGCAAAAAGAGTTGAAAACCAGTCATCTATAAGTGGACAGAGGGTAATAGGATTTTAGGGAAATGCTGTAGGAATGCGAATACAACATTTGTGATGGGATAGAATAAAACAGTAAAGTAGAAATATCTAGTGAAAGTCAAGACCGAAGGAGGAACAAAGGCAGAGTGTAGTATAAGTTTGCCAGTTTCTTATAACCAGAAAACCAAAGTCAGACAACTTGGCCATCAAGTAAAGGAGGTATTTGTGTACTCCAAGGAATAAAGGTGAGTACTAGAAGACCCAAGTGTCTTTAGCCAAGATCATACTGGAGAGAAGGTAGAAAGAAGACTGCGCATACTAAAGGAATAATCACAGGTGATAGCTATGATGAAAGAATGAAATGTTTATCAAGGTATTCTTACCCTTGCAAATATCAAACATAACGTGGGGGAGTTATAAAAACTGACTACATCCTGTATCTCTCACACACACAGCTGAAAAACACAGAATGAGACCAAGCTCCTTGACTAAGAACTCTCAGCTCTTTCCTATGAAAGTGGTTCTCAGTATGGTCAGCAGCAGCACTGCCCATGAACTCATCGGATACACACATTTCTAAGGCTCAGAGGTCCCAGGCCAGCTCTGCTGGGTCAGAAACGGTGGAGAAGCCCAACCCACCCCACCCATCATCTCTTGGTCAAAATGTTCTGTGCAACTGCAGATGGCTCGTTCTCTTTCCCTCTCTGTCCCTTCCTCCTTCCCTCCCTCTCTTTTTCAAACAGGGCTTCTCTATGTAGTAGTTCAAGCTGGTCTTGACCTCACCATGTCACCGGCTGTTCTTGATCCCCCAGCCTCACCATACCAAATGCTAGGATTAAAGTATACATCGCCACATCTGGCTAAATAGTTTCTTCATTGTGCTGCCACTTGTTGGAGTTAATCAAAATTGCTCTTTTTTCTTTTCAGAAATACCTCTGTTCATAGAAAGTGGAGTTATCTTCCTATTTCATCAAAAAGATGAAAACAACTGGGTTGCTGTCAAGAGAGACCAGCACAGACTAATGAGTAGGATCAATAAGAACGTGGTCTTGGCCCTTCTAATCCTGACAAGCTCTGCGTTTTTGCTGTTCCAGTTGTACTACTACAAGCACTATTTGTCAGCAAAGGTACTTTTTCTTTTCCTATTATAAGACTTCATTGTAGCTGTGCATTCTCTTAATGTGCTTTTCAGTGCATAAAATTAATGTTTAATCTTTATGGAAACATTTCTCACTGAGATTCTCATTTTTGTAGGATGTGTGCCAAGCAATTCAGAATTATAATTAAATTTTTTATAATTACACAGTTAAGTCAGAAGTGGTGTTTCAGGAATGATTATTCACATTTTCTGATATATAAAAATTGTTATCCCACTAAATACTCTTAGACTGGAGAGAAGGCACAGCAGTTAAGAGTGCTGGCTGCTCTTGCAGAGGACCTGGGTTTGAATCCCAGCACCCACATGGTGGCTAACAACCATCCATAACTCCAGTTCCAGGGGAATCTGATGCCGTCTTCTGACCTCCACAAGCATTGCACGACACAGGTGCACTTGCGTACATGCAGGCAATATACTAATATACATAAAATAAAAATAAATATTTAAACAGTCTCAGTTAAATGAATTCACTGATAAGTAATTTTGATAAGATATCAAAATGATTTTATCTCATGGTATGTATTCTGACTCAGAATCTACTGGAAGAGTAGAGTGTAATCTTCATTGGTATTTGTAGGATGAAGAAGTAGAGATACTGGCTTGAAGTCCAGTGTCGTCTTAGTAGTAGTAAACCCCTGCAGCAATGTTCAGGACCTTTAGGAACCATTACCCTGTTGTGTGTCCTTGGCTAGGAAAGGAGGAATGTTCGCTGTCTTGGAATAAAGGCCTGCTTCTGCTTATGTTTAGAGCTTTACTATAAACTTGATGTTGACCCTAGCTGCTTAAATAATTTTTTTTTAATTTTTTTTTAATTATTTAATAACCACATGATTAGAAGCATTTCATTACAGCATTAACATATTCAATAACAATTTCCAGAGCAAAGATGCTTCTCTTTCAAAATTAGCTGTAAAATTTGAGGTTCACAGTTAAATTAATACAGTTATACAGTATTGAACTCAGTATAACCCTTATAAGACATAAAATTGAATGAGGTTTTAACTTTTTTTTTAATTACAACATAGAATAAGTAGATTTAATAAATGTTTATAGCATATTTCATCCAACAGCTGTGGAATATACATTCTTTTCAGCAGTCCAGGTAACTTTTTCTAAAATAAATCATATTTTTTTTATTCTTATTCTTTTATGAAGTTAGTTAAAAATTAATGAACAAGAAATTAAAGAGACTGCGCTGCAATTAAGTTAGAATATTCTAACTGAAAAACAATTACTGTGAAACTATTTACATTCTCATAGAATTATAAACATTTCTCAAGGAATACTTTACAGCACAACT